AGGAACTACGTCACCTCGGTATAAGAGACAACAGGCCATATATTTTCCATGTCGTGGATCGCATTTGACCATCTGGTTGTTGGGTTCGAAGCAAGAGTATGTGATCTCGGCCACAGTGAGTTGTTCGTGATAAGCTTTCGCGGCAGAAATTACCGGTGCATAGGTGACCAGGGGGAAATGAATACGAGGATATGGGACAAGGTTGGTCTGGAATTCAGTCAAGTCGACATTGAGTGAACCGTCGAAACGCAGAGAAGCCGTGATGGAGGAGACTACTTGAGCAATGAGTCGATTGAGGTTGGTATATGTTGGACGTTCAATATCAAGATTACGTCGGCAAATATCATAGATAGCCTCGTTGTCGACCATGAATGCACAGTCTGAATGCTCGAGAGTCGTATGTGTCGTGAGAATGGAATTGTAGGGCTCGACTACAGCGGTAGATACTTGAGGAGCTGGATAAACAGAAAACTCTAATTTCGATTTCTTGCCATAGTCGACCGATAACCTCTCCAATAGCAGTGCTCCAAAGCCGGATCCCGTGCCTCCTCCAAAGGAGTGGAATACTAAAAATCCTTGCAAGCCGGTACAGTTGTCAGCAAGTTTTCTGATTCGATCCAATACTGCATCAACGAGTTCTTTTCCAATGGTATAGTGACCGCGAGCGTAGTTGTTGGCTGCATCTTCCTTGCCAGTGATAAGTTGCTCGGGATGAAAGAGCTGACGATAGGTACCGTTACGGACTTCATCTACGACGGTAGGTTCTAAATCGACAAAAACAGTGCGGGGAACGTGTTTTCCAGAGCCGGTTTCAGAGAAAAAAGTGTTGAAAGAGTCATCGCAGACTCCTACGCTCTTATCAGATGGCATCTGACCATCGGGCTAAGTACAAAAAAGAAAAAGATGATGATAACGCTGGGTGAGATTAAGTAATAACACTCGCGGTTTGTCGTCGCCTGTCACGATATTAGACGCGATTTTAACAAAAACGGCTGCTATAACACTGCGAGCGGTTATCGGCAACATTTTTTTTTTGGGAGATTAGGCGACCGGGGTGTAATTTCAGAATTTTTAAGAATCAGAGGGAATAATATTACTAATTCGAGAGGGGGCTTTGGTAAGGGGAAGGGAAATTTAACCCAATTTGGGCTTAATTTTTTAAAAAAATATCAGGCAACAATTTTTGGATGTTTTTTTTTCTTTTTGCTTCTCGCTAAGCATTTACGATAGCCTTAATAAGAAGCTTGTAAAATCATGCGAGGTCTTTTTTTACTAGGGCCTTCACATATGTTTATGTTAATAAATATATGAGAAACAAACCAAAAGACATTGTTTGCAATTGTATTTTTTTGATGATGCAATATTACCGATACAAGCCTATTACGTTGACCCAGTTACGTCAGATATGAAAATTTTATCGTTATTATCGCAACTCTCGTGCAACAAACACGCATCCTGCCCAATCAAGCAAAATCATAAAATCAGTTCACTCTATTTGCTGGAAACTTCGCGAACTTTTTTGATTTCTCAACTCTCAAACTACAAAGCGCAATGGCAAAGTAAGTACACGTAAAATGCGAGTTTTCATAGTAAGGAAGGAACGTTGGAATATGTCAAAGGCAGTCTGTGTTTGGATCTCTCTCAGTTTTTACGTTCAGTAAGGGCTAAGAGTGACCAACATTCCAAGTAGTTTCATAAATTGTACTATCCATTGCCGTCGTTCTTGCCGTCGGTATTTTGACCAGCTCCTCGTCTAACACTCGTCCTTTTTCTTTGCTAAATAAGCAACCTTCTCCACCCCGAAGTATTATGGGCACAGCGCAGCGACGAAATCTACCTGACCATAAATTTGGTTGACGTCGAAGACGTTAAACTTGACGTTGCAAAGGATAAGATTAACTTTGAGGGTGTTGGCGGAACTGAACGAAACAAATATGGATTTGAATTGGATTTATACAAGGAGATCAACCCTGACGTATGTTAATCTGTCCGGGTTATGAAGGGAGGGGAGGGAAACGGGGAAGAACGAGGGGAGTGAAAAAGGAGAGGGGGAGGAGAGAGGGAGGAAAGGAGGTGTTATGCCGAATTAATGTAATAATAGATCTGTAAATTACAGATTTGATGATAACATAGTTAAAAAAAAAAAAGTTCGAGCGCAGGTTATCAAACATGTATTTATCGGCGTCCGACCGTTTGTCGCAATGAAAGGAAAAGCTTTTCGGCCAACGATTAATCATATGCCTCTTTATTTTTTATTTTTCTGCACACACCAGACTTCAAAACGACATCAAACAGCTCGTCAAATCGTTTTAGTTCTTGACAAAGCGGAACACGGTCAAGCATACTGGCCTCGTTTGCAAAAGGACAAAGTAAAGCCCAGATTCTTGAAGACCGATTTTCAAAAGTGGAAGGATGAAAATGATGATGACGAGGAGGACAATGCGAACCCGGTTGGAGGAATGGACTTTTCTAGTCTGATGGGCGGTGGTATGGGTGGGGTAAGTATGTGAGGGTGAACGAGACTGACGGGATAGTTGATAATGTCTGCCTGGCGCTTGTTCCGGTTGCGTCTTTTTGTAGTTTCAGTCATGCCACTATTCCCGTGCTTGCCGTGTGATATATCATTACTAAAACTATATTGGTGTGTTCTTTAACTAGTTGAGCGACGATGAGAGCGATGAGGAGATGCCTGATCTAGAAGCCGTCCCTAAAACTGACGATTCTGCGGACAAAACTAGTATGCAGGTAGAAGAGATTAAGGAAGACGACAAAGAAGGGGACAAGGCAGAAGTTAAAACAAGCGACAGTACATAAATCAATCGGGTGGAATATGTAATTCAGGTATATGGGGAGTAGCTGGACAAAAAAAAAAGTGTGAGAGTGCCTGTGCGTAATGCAGTAGGGACTTTTTTTTTTTCGGGACTTTTGTATCTGCTCAGATTTGGTAGTAGGATTTATTAGCAACTGTAATTTGGCTATGTAAAAAATTTTTTCTATCATACTTTTATAACATGGGGTGTTTTGCGGAATATGATTGTTTGTGACTTGGTGCACATGTTTAAAAGTGGCTTATAAGAGGATACACTCAGTGTATTGACTTGCTCATGGTAAAGTCTTCTCCCTTTCGTAGATTGACTCTCACATATTTGTTGCCGAGATTTGTCAATTGATTGACATCCGATACATCAACATCTAGTCGACTAGACATAGTTTTAATCGGATGCTGACTCTCGTTCGTAGAACCGATACTTTGCACTCTTGTCAGGTCCCAGTGCCTGGTCAAATTGACGAGTTCATCTTGTTCTTTATTACTGCGGAATAGTACTTAGACTACCATCACGTGACATAGTCCATTGCGCGTTTCGGTAAATTAGAATAATCAAACACAATAATGAATGTCCCCAAGCTTGTTATGTAGTTTGAAACAATTATAACCTGATACATAACTGTTTCTAACATGTAGATTCGCGATGAAAATATGGTGCAATACTGTTGTTGAAAATATCATGTAATCATGCGATTGATGATGCAAAACAAACGAGAATACACGCGTGTTAAGAATGTAAAAACGAGCTCTTGTAACCTAATTTCTTTGTTATTCTTACCGAGTAATAAGAGACGCGACAGGACCCATGATTTTTAGAATCATCTGCGTCTCCAATTTTATTAATGGGCAAATCACTAGTATTAAACTCAGCTTGTGTTGACTAGTTCCATCGACTTGTCTCATACCTAAACCCTTGAGAACAAGACAATATTTGTATCGAGATTATTGTTGACGAGAACATGCAGTACCAACTCGGGACCATTAGAATTAAGGCTGAATATAGAGAGTACTAAATCATTGTAATTCGCTCTTCTGTGTTAGATATATTCCCTCTGATTCTTAAAAATTCTGAAATTACACCCCGGTCGCCTAATCTCCCAAAAAAAAAAGAGAAGTTATATATAAAAAGGGTGGCAAAGGGGTAGTCAGAATAAAAAGAATAATAAAAAAGGGGGATATGTGAATTCTAATGAATTCTAAATAATTGAATTCGAGATGAGAAGGGGGAAAGCGGTAAAAGGGATAAATGGGGAGGACTGTTTAAAGTGGATGTTTGTTATTATGGGTGTTCGATCGGAGTAAACAAAAACAGATGTTATTATTACTGTTATATCCGTTCGTTTGTTCATACTCGTGGATCGAAACACCCAAAAAAAAAAGAAAAGAGAAAACAAAATAATTGTATCTCTAATATAATTATAGAGTAACTCTTTTTGCTAATCGACAAAAAAAATCTGCTATATATAAAAAGGACGAACATAATGCTAGAAAATCACAAGTCACTGCTACAAATGGGAAAGATATTTATTTATTTTTAATAAATGGATAAATTGACATATATGCATAGTGACCATAATATACACATATATCCCATTATGAACAATTGCGATTTTCCGTCTTAGTATTCTTCGTTCTCATCTTCTTCTTCTCCTTCCACAGAATCCGTCCCCACTTCCTCGTAATCCTTCTCCAAGGCTGCTAAATCTTCACGAGCTTCCGAGAATTCTCCTTCTTCCATACCTTCGCCGACATACCAGTGGACAAACGCACGCTTAGCATACATCAAATCAAACTTATGATCCAAACGCGCCCATGCTTCGGCAATGGCAGTTGTGTTGGACAACATGCATACGGCACGCTGTACTTTAGCCAAATCACCGCCGGGTACCACAGTAGGTGGCTGATAGTTGATACCGACTTTAAATCCAGTAGGACACCAATCGACAAACTGGATAGTGCGTTTGGTCTTAATCGTAGCAATAGCTGCATTAACATCCTTAGGAACTACGTCACCTCGGTATAAGAGACAACAGGCCATATATTTTCCATGTCGTGGATCGCATTTGACCATCTGGT